ATCTCCAGAGTTTGCTAAATCAAAATATGGGGATTCAGTTCCACCATATGGCTATATTATGTTAAGCCCACCACTACGTCACAGTACCCCAATGGGAAGATCGAAGGTAACAGATGCCAATCTCCGGAGTTTGCAAAATCAAAATATGGGGATTCAGTTCCACCATATGGCTATATTATGTTAAGCCCACCACTACGTCACAGTACCCCAATATTAGTGGGTCCTACACTAAATCCAAATGTAGGAGACAAATAAATAGTGCTAAATAAGCTAAAGTGTATTAAATTAATCTATGATAAGAGCAGTGATGTGTCTATCGTGAGGCAAACAAGGGCGGCACTTTGCAGGGGGCGGCAAAAAAACCCACCCCCAAACGCCCAGGCAGATCCCTTGTTTGCATCGTGTCCTGGGGGGCTCAAGAGCTGGCCACTTTTGAGCCCTGCCGAGGCAGGCGGCGGGCAGCGAGGGAGCATGCTCTGCTCAGCTCCCTCGCGTGCCACTTAATGAAGTCGGGAGCCGGAATATAAAGTCACTCCAGCTCACGGCATCACTAAGTAGTGCGCAAGAGAGCTGAGCAGGAAAATCAGAGCTCCCTCGTCGCCTACTCAGCCTGTCCGCCCCCTGCCTGCCTGCCCAGCAGCCCCACTGGACAGCAGGTAAGTAATCCACTCCAGCTCTCCCAGGTAGGCTGGGTGGATATAAATTAAAATTCCCAGATTTTACTAATAACACGACGTAAAGTCATGATTTTATTAATGACACGGAGGCGAGTATTATGCTATCTCTTTCTTACTTTATTCCTCAGCAGCAAAGAGAAATATAAAACTGAAAGAGAAAAAATTTAGATATGCAATAATAATAATAACAGGTACAACCAGATCTGCCTAGTAACAGGGCAGCCAATCAGCTTAGTAGGAACAGTCCATAAATGCCTTGCTTAGTACTTCCACTTCCTCTTCTTTGCCTTCTGAACCGAAGACCCAAACCAAACTTCCACATCAGGAAAGAACAATCTCCAACAAGGTAGACGTCATCTTAACGAAATCAAGCTGTAAAACAGAGAAAAGGTAGGTAAAATCCAAACTCCGGACCTGCATGTAACATTTCATGACAAACTGGCCTGCAGGACTAAAAAACGTCAAATCGGAACCGCATAAGTACATAGATCCAAATAAGTCAGAGAAAACTGTGAACACTTACCTTGAGGTAAAAGAGCCCCCACCCGATTGAACCATAAGTATAGACCCAAACCATACCCACTGGGTGGGAGGGTGGAAATAATACTCGCCTCCGTGTCATTAATAAAATCATGACTTTACGTCATGTTATTAGTAAAATCTGGGAATTTTATTAATGACACAGAGGCTCCTATTATGCTAATTTAAAGCTGACCCATAACTAATGAGGAAACATGGTCAATCGGGCGGAAATAAAAATCGCGGAACGTAGATTCTCTAGACCAATCCGCTGCCTTCAGGATATCATCCATACGACATCCCATCGTGGAGGCCTTAGACGCCATGGTGCCTCTGACTGAATGGGCCAAAAATATTGAAGTGTCAATTCCTGCAGCAGATAGAAGGTTCTTAATCCAACGAGCTAACGTAGTCGAGGAGATCGGGAGAAACGGTTTCTTAAATGAAATAAACAATTGGGATAAATCCGATGACCTCAATAGGTGAGTGCGATCCAAGTACACTTGTAGGCAAGTTACCGGACACAGAGCAGGTTGGACTGAACACCTAGGGTAGGTCACTGACTAAGAAGACGTCTTCGTCCTCCTAGAGATGTTAAACGACACTCCCTCGGGGGTGAAGGATAACGCGTTCCAGTCCAAAGCCCTGACATCTGAAACCCTTTTGCATGAAAGGAGACACAGGAGCATAACCAATTTCCAGGATAATTGCTTCAGTGACAGGTCCTCATTAGGAGGCCATGATTCCAAGAAGTCCAGCACCACGTTAACATCCCAAAACTATGAATATCTGGATTTCGGAGGCCTAGAGTAACGAATACCCTTCAAAAACGGCACACAAAAAGATGTTGTCCAATCGGTGATCCGTCAATACCTATATGTCCGGCTGAAATGGCCGATCTATAAACATTGATAGTGCGATAGGCCAAACCAGATTCAAAACGCGTGGTCAGAAAACTGAGCACCTCCTTCAGAGGGGCAGAAAGGGGATCCAGCAGTCTGCCCACGCACCAGCCAGACCACACACGCCATGCAGCCTTGTAAGCTGTTCTGGTCCACGGTGCCCAGGCATTCTCCAGGAGTCTTGTAGTAGCCTGCGGAACGTCCGAGACACACCAGGGTCCCCGGAAATCAACCAAGCCGTGAACTGGAGCAGGTTCTGGTCCACTAAGTCGTGCGAGTTCCCATCCGGATCCAAAAGCACCTCTGATCGCATCCTGATCATCCGTGGGCACTCCGCCGCCATCTCCAAAAGACGTGGAAACCAAGGCTGAGTCTGCCATAGGGGAACTATCACCACCAACGTGCATTCTTGTCCGGACAAGTATGTCAGCGTCCGAGAGATCAGGTTGAAAGGGGGAAACGCAAAGTGACGACCCCGAGGCCATATCTGCAGGAACGCGTCCACCGACGTGGCTGATGGATCCGGTCTCCAACTGAAGTATTGGGGTAGTTGAGCGTTCAGTCTGGATGCGAACAAGTCCAGTTGTAACGGGCCCCATAGTCGATCTATCTGTCGGAAGATCAAAGGTAACAGATGCCAATCTCCGGAGTCTTTCAAGTATCGCGAATTCCAGTCTGCCCATTCGTTGTCCAAACCCGGGATGTGTTCGGCCGTGACCGACACCGCGCTGTGGAGGCAGAACTGCCAGAAATCCTTCGCTAGATTCGCCAGTTGTTTTGACTTCGTGCAACCTAGGTGATTTATATATCTGACCGCGGACACATTGTCCATACGCAGAAGGATGCAGCAGTTTCCCAGGGTTGGAGACAGGCTGCGAATAGCGAACGATCCCGCCAGCAATTCCAGACAGTTGATGTGTAGCTTTGATTCGATTTCGGACCATCTGCCACCTGTGGAGACATCATCACAGCGAGCGCCCCAGCCATGCAGGCTGGCATCCGATTCTATCACCATGTCCAGGGCGGTGCCGAAGATTGCTCGACCATTCCATGCCTCCATATGATCCAACCACCATTGAAGTTCCTCCTTGGAGTCTCTGTCCAGGCATAGTTCGCTTTCCTCCGAACTGCCCGAGCGAAGGTGGGATCCTTTCAGCCGTTGTAGGACCCGATAATGTAGGGGTCCCGGAAATATTGCCTGAATGGAGGAGGCCAAAAGACCAATGACCCTCGCCAATTGTCGTACGGAGAGACTGGTGGCCCGTAGAATACGTCTTATTTCTTTCTTCATAGCCTTTAGCTTGGTCTCTGGAAGGAACAGAAACTGGGTGACCGAATTGACTTCGAAACCCAGAAATTCTATTTTCTGCGATGGGGTCACCATGGACTTTTCCCAATTTATGAGAAAACCTAAGCTCTCCAGAAGATTCACCGTCCAGCTCAGGTGTTGTAGAAGTTGATCGGGGGACGCGGACATAATCAGTATGTCGTCCAGGTAGATAATCATGCATACGCCCCGCGACCAGAGGAACGCCACCACCGGCTTCGAAGGGCAGACAGGTAAACCTCCACCGACGTCCTTGCCACGTAAAGTGTAATAAGTCCCAGTGTACCTCTGCCATAGGTATAGTCAGGTATGCGTCCTTGAGGTCTAGCTTGACCATCCAATCCCCTTGCCGAAGCAGATCTCTGAGGCAATGTATGCCCTCCATCTTGAAGTGATGGTAACGAAGGAATCCGTTGAGTCGCTTGAGATTGATCACCGGCCGAACACCTCCGCCTTTCTTGGCGACGAGGAACAGGTTGCTTAGAAATCCCAGATGATCGTACGGGACTTCTTGTATTGCCCGTTTGGCCAGAAGTTCCGAGATCTCCTTGGTAATCAGCCCGGACTGATCTTCCGGCAACCTCAGTTCCTGAGGTGAGTCCACCTGGATAGGGGGAGACAAAAGATCCAGGCGAAAGCCTCTGATAGTATTTAACACCCACACATCCGTGGTGATCATGCCCCACATGTCGAGAAATAAAGCCAACCTGCCTCCCACACTCGCCCGGAGAGAAAAACCTTTTTGAGTACTCACCGTAAGGGCGTCTGTATGAGAGTTGGCCACGTCCTCCCCGATTCTGCTATGTCCTCCCGCGGGAGGGAAAGAAGGGAGCGGGTTTGTAGTCCTGATAGGCCCGAGGGGCAGCAAAGGAACCTCTTTGAGTCCGTGAGGGACCTCGATTTCCACGGCCGGGCGGACGGCTCCTATACCTCCCGGCCCTGTTGAAAACCTTTGGACCAAAAACTCTCTTAAGGTTGGATTGGGCCTTATCTAGGGCGGTGAAGGTGCGCACAAAAGAGCCCAAGTCTTTAACAAAAGACTCACCAAAGAGCATGCCTTTAGCGGCAGCGCCCGGTTCCTTGACCGCAAGGTTAACCAGTTTAGGTTCGATTTTAAGCAGGATCGCCTTGCGGCGTTCGGCTGACATAGCCGTGTTAGCATTGCCAAGTAGGCAAATCAATCTCTGGACCCAACCTATTGCTACATCGAAATCCAGGGGGGTATCCCCTGTTTTAGCCGTCTCCAATAGCTCATAAAGCTTAGTCACGGGACCTAGAGTGTCCAAAATCTTGTCCTGGCAATTATGGAGTGAAAACTCCAAACCCTTTCTGGGTTTCCAGACCATTTTTGTCAGGAACTGTGAGATCTGAGGGTCAACCTCTGGCGTCTTACACGCCGCATCAGGCACTGAGGGCCTTGGGCATTCGGCCCGTAACTTACTGCGCCCTTCCTTGGATAAGGGGGTACGCATACGAAGCACTAGATAGCTAGCTATATGCTTGGGCGGGTCCCATTCCGCCGAGCAAGGGTGGTGAAGGATCGAACAGGGGGTAACCCTGTGGATCGCATATGCCTTATTCCTCACTCGGAGGTAACGCCGAAGTGTCAGACCCCGCCTCCGCGTCGGAGTCCCCTTCCTCATAAGAGGCGTAGTCGGGGGTGTCCGAACCTGTCTCCCCACTTGGATCTGAATCAGACCCGTCATTGTCATGGGCACGCGACCTTTTCCACTTTCTGGCCGATTTTGCCCAGCCAGCGGCTCTCTTGCACGGTAACGCGCCATCTTGGACGGCCATAGGCACGTCAGTCAGGGCAGGTACCACCTGTGTCATATCGGGGGAGACATGCTTAGTTTTGGCATATGCCTTGCGGCTGACCTGAGGTTGCAGCGCAGGCAGGGGGCTTGCCAACATAGGAGAAGCCAGGGGCTGAGTCAGGGCCTGTTGGATAGTGTGAGACAGCGATGATGAGACTGTCCCCATGGCAGAGTAGAGTCAATAAGGGCCTGGAACTCCTGAGAGGGGGTGAGACCCCCTTCACCTGAGATAGGGGCCTGAAAGGCTTCCATGGTGGGGTAGCTGGGACAGCCAGAATCATCACCCTTAGCCTGCATGATAGACAGGAGGGTAAATAAGCTTGTGGATAAAAAAGGGGTATGTCCCTTTAAATATACACAGATAAAATATTAAGCCACAATAAATATTATGGGAGCCAGGCCACCAGTCTCAGAATACAATGTTATTACAGTATGATGGAGTAAAAACCTAAACTACAGAACAGGGGTTGAGTAACCCACAAAGCAAATACCTGTGGAGAAAAGACAGGGGTAAAGGGAGCCGACCGCCGGATCCGCCAGCAGCCACGTGTGTGAAAGAAGATGGCCGCCGCGGCTGGAGGTAGAGCGGGTCATCGCACGCGGCCGCACATGCGGTCGTGAGGGGAGAAGGGAGGGCGGTCAGGGAGCACAGCAGCTCCCGAGAAAACAGCTTCCCCAGTGATCCGCGGTCCCTGTCTGTGCACACAAATGGTACAGCACAGGCAGGGAGACCGTGCAAAGCAGGTGAAGAAACAGAGACACCCAAAAGGGGTGCCAAAAAACATCAAAGCAAAACACAGAAATCATATAGGGTGCACAAAGCACCATACAAGTACATAATACATTAAATATATCAGTAGATAAACCCATAAAAACAATCCAAGATTAAAATATACAGGAGTGAAATTAATACTTAGCTGGTCTAAGGACAGCAGCAAAGAAAGAGGAAGTGGAAGTACTATGCAAGGCATTTATGGACTGTTCCTACTAAACTGATTGGCTGGCCTGTTACTAGGCAGATCTGGTTGTACCTGTTTTTATTATTATTGCATATCTACATTTTTTCTCTTTCAGTTTTATATTTCTCTTTGCTGCTGAGGAATAAAGTAAGAAAGAGATAGCATAATAGGAGCCTCCGTGTCTAATAAAATTACAAAAATAATTTCTGAGTGTTGGGGGAATAGAGTGTGTGTATGTGTGTGTTTGTAAGTGTGTGTGTCTAAGTGAATGTGTGTATGTGTGTGTGTGTGTCTGTAAGTGTTTGTGTCTAAGTGAATGTGTGTGTGTCGGTCAGTGAGTGTGTATGTGTCGGTCAGTGAGTGCATGCACCTGTCAGTGAGTGCGTACGTCTGTCAGTGAGTGTGAGTATGTCAGTGTGTGTCCGAGTAATAATCTGTGTCTGTCTATCAGTGTGTCAAATCAGTGAGTGTGTGTGTTTGTCATTGTTTGTCAGTGTATATGAGAGTGTGTGTCTATCAGTGACTGTGTGTCTATCAGTGAGTGAGCGTCTGTCAAAGTGTGGCCTTGACAGGAAGGGGTGGGGGAAATTGAAATTGGGGGGAGGGGGGAGATGTTCGAGCACAAATCCAAAATACACCACTGGGTAAAAGCATTGTGAGTATACAAAACTAATATGATAAAAACAACTAAAATCAGTGTCATAACTTAAGTATTAAAGTGTAAGTGCTTGGATACTCACAATGTAAATCAATATGTGCTAAATGAAGATTATAATAAAAGTTACATTTTTTGTATAAAAAAACCCCCCTCATATATACACACCTGTGTTCACCTCCAAAGGGACCTCTGAAGCTGGGGTCTTGGGATGCTTAACACCAAAGAGAATCTGGACTGGATTCCAAACTTGCATAACAAAGACAAAAAGGATTGGGGGCACACATGAAAAATGCATTCTACATGAATGGTGCTGCGGTAGTGACCAATATTCATACATGATACAAATTTAATTACGGCGCACACATAAAAATACACTAATAATCTTATAAGGCTACTTATTTTTCTATCTAAGAAGAGAAATATGGTGGAACTGAATCCCCATATTTTGTCATCTTAGATAGGCGAATTAAGTAGCCTTATAAGATTATTAGTGTATTTTTATGTGTACACTAATACAATTTCTCCAAAACAATGTGAGAGACTGATAAAGTCATACAGAAAACGATTACTTCAAGTTATTTAAGGTCTCCTTAGGATATATATAATAGAACAGCAATTTTAGGTATGTATAGATTGCTGTGGATAACTAAAACTTGGAGTTATGTAATTTACGCAGTTACGATTTTTTCCTTATTTGGGGGAATGTATCCATTATATTGCAAAATTTTAGACAGGGACAGTTTATGCCAAAAGCAGTTAACGAGTACTTGGATGTGTTTAACTCTAGTTGACTGTATTAAGCAGCAGCAGACTGATGTAAAATAAAAACTAAATACTGACGACTTTCTACTCCCTCCAGGGTCTAGAATTGTCTTGACTTCCTTGACACATATCACTTAGACATATTTATGGGGAGCACATGAAATGTTCATCCCCAACATATGTTAGAATTCCAAAGCTGCAGGAGAGAAATTAATATGAAAATCAACAGAAGCGATGTATTTTAAACGTTCAAACTATCACATCCACAGATAATAAAATGTATTAACTTTAAACTTGCATTCAGTTTCAAATTAATAGCAATTTGTCCAAATTTCCACAATTCTATGACTCTGAAAACAATTGGGTGAATCATAACAGAAACAAAACAGACAATGGATTAACAGTTTTATTTGTTTTGTGATTTGGAGTTTCATACTTGGAGCCAAAAAAAGAGGCGATTTATGGGGGAAAAAAGATGTTTGTTGATTACCAGACAGCTACTTTAGAGTTATTCACTAAAGTAAGAATTCAAAGTTAATTTCATATTTAAGGTCAAAATAATTTTAAAAAAAGTCTAAATCAGCTATTCTGTCATTTCGGTTGATCGAGCATTAAATTTGAAATTCACTTTGAATTTTGACATTAGTGAATAACTCTGTAGATGCTGATTTTATTATCAAACAAGAAGTGACCAATACAGGGGAAAAGGAGAATCTATATTTATGTTTTATATATTGAATAAATATATTATATATATTTATCATATTATTATTTCTGGCACTTATTTAGCGCCAACTTATTCTGCAGCATTTTAAAATTTTATAAAGGGGGAATTTAACAATAAATGAGACAATTACAAAATGTTACAGGAACAATAGGTTGATGAGGATCCTACTCAAACAAGCTTACAATCTAGAGGAGGTATTTATATATATATATATATATATGAAAATCCTTGCACACAGGCTATAATGTTATATACTTGCCGGGTGCTCAGCCTGGGACTTAAGTTATCCAAATAGCAGTAGGAATGGCAGCACTCACGGTCTTCAGTAAAAAAAATCTTCTTTATTTGCAAGATTTAAACATGGGATCAAGAGATCAACGTTTCAGTCCTTATACGGGACTTTCATAAGGATCAATATGATGATATGATATGGTATTGATTCTGATGAAAGTCCTGTATAAGGACTGAAACGTTGATCCCTTGAGCCCATGCTTTAATCTTGCAAATAAAGAAGATTTTTTTTACTGAAGACCGTGAGTGCTGCCATTCCTACTGATATATATATATATATATATATATATATATATATATATATCTTACACAAGACACAAGATCCAGCACACTCACTCATCCAATAAACAGCAACTTCAAAGCTCACAGATTTTATTAGTTATTTTAGTTTTTTTGTTTTTTTTTAAACACCTAATCTAGGCAAAAATAATAGGGGTTTAGTTAAAGTATATGATCATACATTGCAGAAGCCTGCCACAATGTCAATGTACCCCATCTTTAAATATTTATTTATTATTATTTTTTAAATGTATTTATTGATTTATTGATTTATTTTCACTGCTCCTCCTTTTTCCCCCTCTATCGGCTAATTCGTCTCACTTGATCTGTGAACTAAACGGTGGTAAAGTATGCCTGTGTATATATCTATAATATTTACAATATGTATATATTTTGCTGTTCACTGATTGGTCAGCTTTCCTGCGTTTTGTTTAGTCTGAATCGTTTTCTAATATGATTGCATAGTCAAACTTCACCTTAGCAAAGGAAATTAGATCAAAAGGTCTAATATATTCTAATATTCAGAAATATAATTATTTTGCTAAATATCCACATAATAATTCAAATGTAGCATGGCCAAGAGCAGACCGAGGGAGATGAGCTTCAGCAAGCTCTACCCCGCTTTCACAGGATATATTCACTGAGAGCACAGAACTGCTTCCTGTGAGACCAGAGAGAGGTTACTGAAGCTCCTCCACCCCATTTTGCCCCATTTCACCCCATGGCTCAGCCACACTACAAGAAGGAGGTGAGGAGACACATAAAGGGAAGGGGAGGAATTGAGGCACATATAGTAGGAGCTGGGGGAATGGGGCAAATATGGACAGAAGGATAGTAATGAGGCACATACAGGGGGAATGAGGCACATATGGAGGGAAGGGAAGGAATGAGGCACATATGGGGGGAGCTGCGGAAATGAGGTACACATACAGGTTAAAACCCTTTACTCACTTATCCGATTCCAGCATCGCTGTCCCTTGGTGCTGGATTGAATGGGTGACCTGCTCTACGTTCCTGAAATAGGATATTGGCTAAGAAAGACATAAAGTAACTAAACGGCCATGTTAGTCCCATGCTAAGCCTGACTAGTTTCACGGTTTAACATAAGTTTATAATAAATAGCTAGTTTTAGTTTTAGGAGATATATCTTTATAAGGTATGTGAAGCACAGTGGTCCTTCTGGGTAAGCTAGACTAAATAGAGGTGGTAGGGAGATTAATCCATAGACTGGAAATACGTCGCTTTTTCAATGCTATCCGTGGATACATTTCTTGTCATCGTTTTTGGAGAGAAGTAACAGGAGTGATTTGAATATGTAAAGGAATTTTGGGGTTATACAATGCAGTCTCTACCAGTCAGGGTCAGGAGCAGGTGTTTCTAAAAGAAAAGTTGTTTTGCCATATCAGATGAGTTGAAATATTGCAGGTATATACAGAAGAATGATTTTTGGGAAGAGGGTACCGAAGTCTAATATTTTTTCCCCATTAAAAATTGGACAAGGACGGATGTACCAAGGATTGAGTAGGGTCTAAGGATTTACATGCATATTCAATATTTAGCAATTGACAACACAATCCAGTTTAGTTGAAAAACAGACTTTCAGGGCATACCACTATACACCTCTTTGCTACAGTAGTATTCCTCTAATGGGTACTAGATGTCTGTGTATGATGCTATCCCATAACAGGATTCAACCTCTTTTGGATCTAATCACACTTCATTTAGATAAATATTTCCAAGGCACATCTGCTTTATTTTTTAATATTATTTTCAACAGCAGCTTATAAAGATCTCATATATTTGTATCCCTTCCACAGGCTTACTATAACTCTAGTCAAATAGATAACTTTTAACTGACTGCCAGAAGGGAATTCAGATTTTTTTTTAAAAGCCAAAAAACAGCCCCCCCAAAAAGTTGAAAACCCCAGTCAATGATGATTAAACAGCAGTATATTATTTGTATTTAAATAACACTGGGTACTTTGTTTAAATTACTAAACCATTTACCTAAATACTGATCAAAAGGTCACAATATAACCTAAAAATTACTTTATTCTTAAAACAAAATATAAAAAAAAAAAAAACTCACTGTTTTTAGGTATGCATACCATTTG